GAATATGTTTTAAAAATGTTTAAATATTCAAAATAACTAATGTTACTTCAATTAGTATTAGCAACATGAAATCATCTTAAAATGAAATAATAATGAATTAAAATGTCGACGTATAAGGTATTATTTTCTAAATTGAAGCAACTCCTTAAGTTAATTTCATTAAAATCCAATTTAATGATCTTAAATTTACCTCACTCTCACCCCTTTCTTTACTGAAATTTTCTAATGTAAATCAAACATTAATTTTTAATGATTTTTATTTCACAGATTTTAAATTAGAAAACTCTTAAAATAGCTCAATTAGTGGCTAATAATTTTTTATTTTAGAATGTGAGGGAATACTTAATTCGAATTTCTCAAATATTCAGATAAAAAATTCAAGTATGCTAGGATTTATTAACTTACATGATTTAAAAAATGATAATGGAGTTAATATTTAAAATAAAATATCAACATACTACAACTATTAGCACTCTCTTTCTGCAACAAATCAACTAATGTTACTTAATGCTTAATAATTAACAATAATAAATTCTAATTTTACATCTATCTCTAGCATAAATTCAGAAGCTGGCTTTATTTAAATTTAAGTAAGCTAAAGCTTTCTTTTAGATACAATCTAAATTTAAAAAGTTGAACTTAAGTAAAATAGTTTTATATACATATCTTAAAGTCCTTAAATAGTTATCTAAAATGTTTAATCAAAAAATATAGAAACAAATAACATAGCAAGTGTTTTTTATTTGTTATAAATATCGAGGCTAATAATGAAAAATAACACTTTTATCATGAACCTATCTTATCTTGATGGAGGAGCTATATATTTAAACTAAATATCAGAAATAAATTTTTTAGGTAACACATTTTAGTAAAACGAATCAAAGGCAGGAAATGGGGGAGCTATTTATTGCTTCAGTAGTGTATTTTCTTAGTTTCATGGCAATAATTTCGTTTAAAATTCTTGTAGATAAGGTTCAGGTGGAGCATTATTGTTGAACAATTGTGATATTTAAAATATGACAGATAATATTTTCAAATAAAATTCTGCTCTAATAGGAGGTGTTTTTAGATATTAAGGCATATAACCTTATGTTTTATAAAAAACAAATGTGAGCCAAAAGTTACTAACCTAAAATTAAAATTATTTTATAAAAAACTATGCATAATTATATGGAAAAAATATAGGTTCCTATCCATTTTATTTGGATGTTAAAAATTAAATGCAAGATGATTTAAAGATTTAAAGTGCTAAATTAGAAAATTTATAAAGCGGTAGTACATCTTCACCTATAATAATGAGACTAATTGATGAAGAAATGAGAGAAGTTAATTTTTTTAAAAATACTAATTAGATAAATTAAGAAATCCTGATTGAATTTAGTAGCTATTTACTTGAATTGTAAAGTTAAGAAGTT